GCATTTAAAAATAATTAAAATATCAAAATTTATTTTATTTAGAAACACAATTAGATAATTTCCTAAACATTTTGAAATACATAAAATAATATTTGAATATGTTTAAATATTTAAAAAATCTTGAATATATAAGAATAACGTCATAATCTTTAAAACGGCCTTTTTTAAATAAATAACGTGAAAAAAATACATTTTCCAATTTTTATATTTCTCTTTCTGGAATGTACGCTATATTTTGTACAACCTCTAACTTCCGCAATATTTGAGATATCCCGTTGAATTTTTTTTACATGGATAGAGTATCATTCAAGGATGGTTGGTATTGAATTTGGTGAGAATCGATGAAAAGGTTCAAATTTTATAAAATTTTGTATTTTTTAAGAAATGTCTGTACACGTTATAACTTTCGGAAAATTTGAGGTATTGGATTAAATTTTTTTACATGAATAGAGTATTATTAAAAGATGGTTGGTACTGAATTTTGTGAGTATCGAAAGAAATTATTTTAATTTTTATTTCGCTCACAAAGCTTCCTCTATAAGGAAGCAAAAATTGAAAAATCCACATGCTTAAAGCAGCTTAAGCTTTGTATGATAAAATGATGAGGAAGCAATGTGCAAGTTTTTAATTTGCACAACTCTACTTGTTTTAATATTGAACCATAACAACCAATTGTTACCTGCCACGATATCACCTTGACCATCACTAATTAATGTCGCTTCCTTAGAAATAAAAAATGACATATGCAATGACGATTATTAATTTGCTCTATTAACATTAACTAATGACATACATTATATTATCGCGTCACTTCCATCTATCATGATTAATAAACGTGCGAGCGGAAAAGTTTTATCAGTAACGTAGCTTTCTATAAATTGTCAGTCAGAGTGTAGAAACTATCAAACCATTACAGTCAGAGTGTGGAAATTCAGAGCATTACAGTTAATTCTCAAGTTTGGCATTGCGATGTCATTCTCAGTTTTAATTTTTACATCTTTTCTGGCGATAGCACTCGCCCAGAAGGATCCGAATTATGTGGATGGCAGAACAACTATGGCTCATTTGTTCGAATGGAAATTCAACGATATCGCCAAAGAATGCGAAGATTTCCTTGGTCCAAAGGGCTACGGTGGTGTACAAGTATGTATAATGAATATGTATGAATTATTTTTATCGTATATGAAATTTTAGATATTAATAATATTAAAATCTAATTTTACACAAATCGAAAGATTCTTCTAAATAATATGAAAGTATTAAGATAAAGTGTTCGAGAAAAATACTTAAGAGGTATAGTAAGATATAGTAGATAAGATAAGATGTTTCAACATTATTATATTCTCTTTATTGAAAAAGATACTTGAATATTCTTCAGAATAATAAACATTTTTTATATTATCCTTTTATATCAAGATGTGTTTACATATCTCTGTTTACGTTTTTTCTTAATTTATTTCTTCAAATTATCTATTATTAACAGAGTGTATTTTGTTTCAAATAATTTGAAAGTAAATGATATTAAATGTGAATAAAAAAACAAAGAATAATACAAATTATACAATTTACCCTGTAAATTAAAATTATTTTTGTTAATATCGTTCTCTCTCTTTCTCACACATTAACATAAAATAATAAATGTATTTTTGAGAGGTGGATATAAAAACTTGAATCAATGCTGTTTCTAGCGCTAAAAACTACGTACGTGTGTGTGTATATAAGGGTTGAGAACGTTACTCTATAAAAGTAACGCGTTACCGTTACCGTTATTTTTTGTAAAAAGTAACTCGTTACCGTTACTCGTTACTGATTTTAAAAAGTAACGCGTTACCGTTACCGTTACTTGGAAAGTAACGATTCGTTACTTTTTCGTTATGTTTTTGTTTTTTGTAATATATTTTTACTTTTTAATACACTTATCTTTATAGAAATTTAAATTGTAATTTACAAATTTCAATTTTGTCGAAAATTTTTATCAAACATTGTTTTTAAATATTGATAAGAGAAATATTGATATTATTAAGAGTGTATTCCAATATTTACTGCCAGTATTGTAAAATCTATAATTTACGTTACTATAGATTTTCAGCACTGGCAGTGACTATCAGAATGCAGTCTATGATAGAAGACTACAAAATATTTTTCAAAAAATACATCTATCTATTGAATAGATATAAGATAATAAAGAACCAAAAAATAACGATAAAAGTAACGGCTAATTCGTTACCGTTACTGTAAAAATGTAACGACGTTACCGTTACCGTTACAAACAGAAAAAAGTAACGATCGTTACCGAAAAAAAGTAACTGTGACGGTAACGACGTTACAAGTAACGCATTACTTCCCAACCCTGTGTATATATATATATATATATATGTACTTTAAGAAATATGAAACAAGATAAATTTGTATCGTATTTCTCTTACAAAACGAGATTTCTCCTATAAATATAGGTTTCTCCCATAAATGAGAATCTCATAATAAAGGACAGACCCTGGTACGAGAGATATCAGCCATTGTCCTATAACATTATTAGTCGATCCGGAAACGAATCCGAATTTGAGAACATGGTAAACAGGTGTAAAAAAGTCGGTGTACAGATATACGTTGACGTAGTCGTTAATCACATGTCAGCGGACGCACAACCCGCGTACGGCACCGGTGGCACATCAGCAGATCCGAAAGACTTCAGTTATCCGGGAGTCCCGTATAGTTCACAGGACTTTCATACACCTCCATGCCAAATCCAATATAACGATTATTTTAACAATGCAACCAAGGTTCGAGACTGTGAACTGAACGGCCTTCACGATCTCGATCAGAGCAAGAAACATGTTCGAAGTAAAATAATTGGATTTTTCAATAAGATCATCGATCTTGGAATCGCTGGCTTGCGGTAACTATACATATATTTCATTCTATACATTTGCAGTATAACTCTCCTCTTTTTATCAAGAATCTTTGACGGAAAGATTGATTTCTTTGATATAAAAATTATTCGATTCATGAAAAATATTAAAAGACTTTTTTTTATCGGTTGCTTTTCAATAATGTGCTTTTTAATGATAACGAATCCTGTGGTAGCGTATTATTCAAATTCTTTTTGCAATCTGCCCAAGTTTAATTAAGCAGAAAAGACATAATATTGATTAAGCCATTTGCAATAACAATCGTGCTTATGCAAAATCCCTATCTGACGCAATATCAACGTACGGCGGATGCACATTCTTTTGCGGTAAAATATATATATATATATGTGCGATGAGGCATAAAATCTTCCATCTCTCTCACCCCCATACATGAAAAGTAAACTCGCGAAACACACTCTGCAGCACCATCTCTGTTTCTCTCTCGATATACGCGTCGGAAATGATAACGGAGCGCGATGGCGTCTTTACGGGGACTGCGACTACGCATCCCGCATCTGCGGATTGCGAATGTCTTGCACATATCTCGAAAAAGAATGTGGCGTTGATCGCGCGTATTAAGAAATCTTGACGGGTACAAAAGTGCGTTAAAGTCACGATGCGTGTACAGAACAAACAAATCTTTCCCTTGCATTCTGACTGATGTCCTCCGTATTAATGTAACACCCGCGAACTAAAACACACACATACACATATACACTCACCGAAAAATTATAATCAACAATATTTTATTTTTATTTTTAAATAATATGTATAAAATAATCATGTATATCTATCATTTATTTTAAATTATGAATAGATTCATACTTTGTTAATTAAAATCAAAGCAATTCTTTATTAACCCCCACTCATTCCTAGTCGAAAGATCGCGCTTAGTCCCATCCCGTGTAAAAGAGATTAAATTCTCTTACCGAAAAGAGACCACCGAGCGAGCGTCTGAATAACCAGCGTAATAACTCGGCCAATTAATACGTAGTCGCGGCAGCTCGTAAATAAATTAACTCTCTCTACTCTAACTATCGCGTGTTATCCGCAGATAAATTACAACATAAATAAATAACGTTACTTCGTCGCATCATTTTCCACGGGTTGCAATGAACTTTGACCTTTGGTACAGTCTAGCTACCGTGTTGCATTAACACGGCAGCAAGAAGAACGCTTTTGGCAAATACAGAGGTGATCGCGAATGCGATTAAATTCAACGAAGTTCGCGAGAAGCAAATAATACAAATTTTAATTGAATAGCGTTAATTAATTTAACGAGTTGATTCCTCATAATTTGTCATGGAAATAACTGTCTGGGATGTTGAACCTCTGACCAAAGCCGTGTTAGTTACCGACCCCGCTTGCGAAATAAAAAATATTCGGAATTAGCGGCCTCTGTAATAAGACATCTGCAATAAGAACAGCAAAAAGCATGGAGAATCTTGCATTTCTCGATGCAACTTTGCATGATCCTATGCACGATCCTGTTGAGAAAACTCACGAATTAATTATGATTTACACACACTTCTTGGATAATAATAATGATAATGATTTACAAAAAGCAATGTTGCAATTTTTATTTGTAAAATAATATCGCGTTACTTTTCTTTTTATTTTATTAAATTTGAATATTTCTCACTATCATAAATAGATTTTTACGCGCGCTTTTCTGCGATTTTTATTGATAAACACATTCCACTACCATAATGGTTTATAATTATTATTAATACATGCTAAAAAAATTTGTTGAATTTTTTCCTATTTTAATATTTTTGTAGCATTGACGCAGCTAAACACATGTGGCCACAAGATCTTAAGTTTATCTACAACAAGACCAAAAATCTGTCCACCAAAGCTGGATTTTTACCGCGTACACGACCTTATATCTATCAAGAAGTCACCTATCTCGATGGCGAGGCCATTAAAAGATCCGAGTACAACAAATTTGCAAATGTCATCGAGTTTCAATTCGGAGCAATTTTGGGTAGTATGTTCCGTGGTCAGGACAAATTGTCGAAGCTGGAAACGTTCGATAATCCGAAAGCTTGGAAAATGTTATCTTCTGGTGACGCATTAGTCATGGTTGACAATCATGATAATCAGAGAGGCCACGGTTCCGGCGGATCCACTATTTTAACGTATAAAGACCCAAAACCGTACAAGGTAGAGTTCGATGCTTCGAGATAACGATATCTATAAGTACAAACGAGATACTTTAATGTAATAATACAAATTCCTTATTAATCGCAGATGGCAATAGCCTTTATGCTTGCCTATCCCTATGGTCATCCTCGAGTCATGAGCTCCTTCGCCTTTAATGATCCCAATCAAGGACCACCGGCCAATTCGGATGGCAGTATCATTTCGCCTGAAATTTCCAATGGTCAGTGCATCAACGGTTGGGTCTGCGAACACAGATGGCCGCAGATTTATCACATGGTCCAATTCCGCAATCTGGTTAACGATGAGCCAGTGGAGAACTGGTGGAGCGATGGAAACAATCAGATCGCCTTCTCCCGCGGCTCTAAAGGTTTCATCGCTCTTAACGTCGAGGGCGACCTTCGCGAACAGTTGCAAACTGGATTGCCCGCCGGTACTTATTGCGATGTCATAACGGGAGACGTCGTCGACGGGAAATGCACGGGAAAGTCAGTGGTGGTTGAAAAGGATGGTCGCGCTAATATTGAAATTTTATCAAATGAGTCGGAAGGCGTGCTCGCTCTTCATATGCAGGTCAGTACGATAAGAAGCGATAAGCCGAAATATTTCAAACACACGATTGTGCATTATCTAATGTTTTGTACGATTACAGGCAAAACTGTGAGGCTCGTCGCGGTTAATAAACTTAGGAAAACAACATTTTATGATTCCACACGTGACTAGCACAAAATAATGTAGACTGCACAAATGTAAATGTATTATCGAATAAAAATACATGCGAATATATTGCTTTCTTTATAGAGATAAATATCACATTGCGCACACAAATATATTGCAATTCCTGTCTATTATAAGTTTCAAGTTTAGTACAGATACGTATCATTTGCAAGAGAAAAAAAAAAACAATATTTAAGATAAATATCTCTTTAGAGATAAACTGAGCTCATTTTTCAATATTATTGACTTTATCTAAATCAAAATATATGCTTGTGCAAATATCGCGCGAAATCAAATAATACTATACAAGTCATAATTGAGATTAGCTTTGGATAGTCAGAAAAATATCCAGAGATGGTTTGTTGGAATTTTTCAAAGTCTGGACAAATTAAGATTTTAGGCAGACTTTTATTTTATTATTTTATTATTTTGAATAGCTTAATATGTGACAGCTTTCTTTTAGATAACTTTTTTGCGGAACATGTTCTCTGTTTTTATAGTGTTTTTAGTACAGGAAAATCTCAAGTTAATTAAATTAAAACTTATTATTCTGCAGGTTAAGATGATTTTGTCACGCCAGAGGTGAAACTTTTGGGGCACAGTATTGCCCAATATATGCTTCAAAATTACTTGATGTAATCTTACTTTAAGTGTTACACATTCCTCCGTATTTGTCTCAATGCCTACTGCAATCGGATGTAATATGATAACTTTCTAATTTAGTACGTAATTAATTTGTTTGGTCAATAAGAAATGTACAACTAAGCATAATTTTTGCATGTGCACAGAGAAATGTGCACGGAATGTAGTTTTAACACAAAAAATGCGTAATAAACATACCTTGTAATGATAAAATTGCCACGAATGATTATGCAGCTATTTTCACACATTTCACAAATGTTTCCCAATCACACGATAATATAATTATATATATATATGAAAATAATAAGAAGATAAAAATGCATAAAATGTCACACTTTATCGATTTTATCGTCAGTTACGTATATTGTAGGGGAGGTTGTCTTGATTAATTTCCCTCAAAAATCAAGTGGGGGCATTGGTTTAGAAGATATAACAAATTGAAGTTTGACAGTAAAGTTTGTGTACGCCATAAACTTTACTGTTTTTAATATCAGTTTAACATATCTAAGAAAAAACATTAAAATTGTTGCAGCAAAATACAACCGATCCTTTTGAAAGAACAATCGCGCGAGACCACATCTCGGTATCTATTCTTAGTCGATGTAACAAAAAAGTAAATATATGAACATGCATAAAATCTTAACGGATATTTTGTCACACCAAAAATTCGCTAACGCATAAAAAACATTATTATTTATTAAGAAAGAGTAATAAACCATATTGCGCTATAAATTTAAAATAAAGAGAGATCGAGAAAGAAAAAAAATGAATATGAATATCAAGAAACTTAGTAATTCGCATAATAAAAAATCAAGTTTTATATATATAATTTTAATTGTATATTTATTCAAAAAATACCGGTTTCTTTTAAAGTTTCCGATAAAATTTCTCAAGTTAAGTTCGCACTTTTCTGCCCTATTGTCCCGAGATAACAACGGTCATATAACGCACGTTTACGTACATATTACAGCTGCAACCTTGACTGTTGACACTTTATCGATTGATTAGAGCATTGTAATTAATTAAACAGCTTATATAAGTAGACCATTTTAATTAATTAGATAGCTTGCGACATTTATCGATTCGTGCGATAAACATGTTTTATCAGCACGGCCAATGGCGCAATACAATGTAATCCGCAGGAGTTGCCGGTGAAAACATCACATGCGGTAGCATAGCAAGGTAATATTTACTTTCGGACAAGCTGATCGGCGCGGTTATATATCTCGGTGACTGATAGTTCGCGACATTATTGTGCATAATGTATGTGCTAGTGTTCGCGTTAACAATACTATCGGCGGTGGTTACTCAGAAAGAACCGCATTATGTGAACGGCCACGATGGAATGGTGCATCTCTTCGAATGAAAATGGCCAGACATTGCGGCGGAATGCTAAACTTTTCTGAATCCTTTAGGGTTTGGTGGTGTGCGATACTAAAGAGAGTAGAGCCAGATTAAAAGTAGATAGTGACAGGAAAATTTCGGAAAGATTACAATGTGGGATGTCCACAAAAAGTTTTATAATTAATATTATTTCTTTTTTTGGGAAAATCTGGGAATTAAAAAAATATATTGTATTGAACATACAAAGAAACTATAAATTCAAAAAAATGTTAAATTTATTAATTATTTTTATAGATTTATGCTTTTAAAATGTATTATTCTAAGAAATAAATTTTTTGCATAAGTAGAGAAAAAAGAAGAGAACAAATACGTCAACCCTCGCAATATACAATCGAATAAATAATTTTCCTATAAATTGATATAGGTCTCTCCGGTACAAGAAAACGTAATTGTAGACAACAGACCATGGTGGGAGCGCTATCAGCCTATATCTTACATCTGGCGTACGAGATCGGGTACGTCGGAGCAATTCAAAGATATGGTTCGTAGATGTAACAACGCCGGTGTGAGAATTTACGTCGACGTGGTGTTCAATCATATGACCGGCGAACACAAAGTAGCAGTGGGTACCGGCGGTTCGACAGCGAATACATTCAACTTCAGTTATCAAGCAGTACCGTACACAAAAGTTGATTTTCACGCACCATGCGAAATTAACAATTACCAGAATGCAACGAACGTGCGGGATTGCCAATTGTCCGGTCTGCTCGATCTTGATCAGTCGAAAGAATTTGTCAGGGAGAAGATCGTCGATTTTATGAACGACGCCATCGAAGCTGGAGTCGCCGGTTTTCGGTATGCAGAATTTTCTTGCAATTTATGTGATTTTATTGCGATATTTTTCAAATATTCTTCGCGATATTCTATGAAATTTTCATAAAGAAATAGATCTTTTAAATATAATTTTATTATTATTTTAAAACAACAACAAAAATATACTAATAATATTCTTAAGTTAAAAAAAAATATTAGCAAAACGAGATGTGTGTGACGAATCTGTCAAATATAAAAGAGTCCCATTGATTTTTGAATTTCAGAGTAGACGCAGCTAAACATATTTGGCCGAATGATCTAAAAGTGATTTATTCTCGGCTGAAGAATCTCAATTCCGAGCACCATTTTGACGTAAATGCGCGACCTTATATATTTCAAGAAGTGATCGATTACGGCGGTGAAGCAATCAGCAAATATGAATACAACAGTTTTGGCGGGGTGACGTAATTCCGGAATGGCGTCAACTGGAGAGAAGCTAAGGGGCTATTACCGTCGCAGGATGCCCTGATATTTATTGACAATCATGACACTCAACGGAGCAACTCCAACATACTCACCTACAAGTCATCGAGGTTGTACAAGGTAAGTAATTTTCAGAGAAATTAAAAATCAAAGAAATTAAATCAAAATAAAGAAACTCAGCTATAATTTTATGCGGATACAATAGCAAGCGATCGCGTATTGCAGATGGCCGTCGCCTTCATGCTGGCGCACACTTATGGAACCCCGCGTATTATGAGCTCCTTCGATTTCAACGATTTCAACGAAGGTCCGCCCCACGACTCCGCCGGAAACACTCTGTCTCCGATTATTAATTCTGATAATACCTGTGGCAACGGCTGGATCTGCGAGCATCGGTGGCGTCAGATTTACAATATGGTGCGCTTCCGAAATGCCGTCAATAAAACCAGCATCAACTATTGGTGGGACAATGATAAAAAAAAAAAATAAAACTTATCAATTACAATTCAATGAACATAATCTAATCTATTTATCGTAAAAAAATAATACAATTTTCGGCTTTTTAATGTTTGGTTTTAAACGTGCGTTCCAGATAAATATTTAAAGAAAATGTTTAATATAGAGATAAATGTGATAAAACTTTAAAAATTTATTTATGTGATGTATTTATTTATGTTTATATTTGTTTATATATTATGTTTAGAACTTAAGGAAAAGGGAGTGCATTTAAAAATAATTAAAATATCAAAATTTATTTTATTTAGAAAAAAATAGATAATTTCCTAAACATTTTGAACTACATAAAATAATTTTTAGATATGTTTAAATACTTAAAAAATCTTGAATATATAAAAATAGCGTCATAATTTGTAAAACGCTCTTCTAAATAAATAACGTGAAAAAAAATTACATTTTGCAATTTTTATATTTCTCTTTCTCGAAAACTACTGGTCCAATTGTTATCACTTTTTCATTCTCTCCAGAGATAAGAAAAATATGTTCGGCTTAACGAAATTATTATTTTATAGAAAAACAAAATCATTAAAAAAATAGGTTTTATTTTAATCATAACAAAAAAAATTTTGAAAAATTTTTTATTGCTAACAAGGGAAAGTATGGAAGTGTTCGTCTCCGATTTTAAAAATTATTCGGATATGTTAAGTGTTGCCAGTATGGAGAGAAAGAAATAAGACAAGTTTTGCCATATAATTTAACAACTGCACTCTCTCCCTTAAGGCGGAAAAAATTGATATAAAATATTTGAATAAAAATATTTAAATAAATATATTTCCAATATATTTTTTGTCACGCAGTGATTGTCACAGTGGAAGACAACCTATTAGCAGAGCTAATATAAAAGTGAATTACTTGTTCGGCATATAATGCTAATTCTCTATTTCTTACATTACGAAATGTATTATTTAAGTACTGAATCCATGATATAGATCACAACAAGTATTTCATAAGATATATAATTATAAGATATATCATAAGATATATCATTTTGTAAATTTTCCCATACACAACACACATTGCTCTACCAAAAACTTTGCCGTTGTAATTTTATTCGTGAATTTACTTTCATGATTTCTGTTTCTCAAAAACATGAAAAGAATAAATATTTACTGTTTATATACATTTTATCCACTGCCTACGATTTCTCTTCAATTTAATACAGTCTTAAAAGCGCGAGTAAAAATAAAATCATGAACTCTGAATCGTTTCGCGTAGGTCCTTCGAAATATATTCTATTTTTATTAACAAACACGTTCAATTTCAGAAATCGTTGTTTTTTTGCAACACTAGTATTATACACAATAATTTATTCTTGTAACGGTATATATATACGATCATGATTCAGTTAAACTTCTCTTTTTGCAATTGTAAATACTCAATAGTTTCGTTTTTCGTATTTATACAGTTTTCGAAAATATATTTCTGTTTAACTATCTAAATGTCATTCATTCAATTAAAATGTTAAAAAAATGTTAAGAGTTGAATTCGTCTCACTCTTTTATCACGCGCGTTTAATTTTGCACTGCACGCCATTAAATAACATGCTCTCATCGACCTGCGTCGTTCAAGTCCTATATAATTTGTCGTCGCAGTTTTCAATTTTGCTAGTCTACAGTCCTTCAGGTCTTGTATGTGTGTTCGTACGTGGATTTTATTTTTGCACATAAAGCGTTAGCAAAAATATATAATTTAGTATATTTATCATAATAATTCATCCATATATATATATAAAAAACTTCATTAAAATATATAAAAGAAACAACGATTTGAGCAAATACGTATCTCCTACGGTAGTTAAAAAGTTATCGCATCGAAACGTATTTATTGTTATTGCACGTAATTCTCTCTCTCTCTCTCGACAAAACGCTCAAAAATCTCTATTCTTGAGCTCCATACGCTTTATGCGTTAATGTCAATCAAAGTCTCTCTCCTCCCCCCTCTCTCTCTCTCTTCTTCTCTTTTTCCTACGTCTAGTCTCGGCTGAACTTCACAGTCTGAATTCTCCTACCTAAAAGTCCTTCCGAGTTCTTGATTACTGACAACAGGCGGAGTCTCCACTCTCCCTAATATATGAAATCGTCTCCCTTAATGTCACTGTTTGATAGGCTTCTTGAAGACGACTTCCGGCTTGCGTACCGGACGGGGTACGCGCCGTTCTATCCTGAGGGCGCGATTAAGATCCGGAGACGGTGACGATGGTGTCGCGACGACCGCCACTGTCTCGGACCCCAGTGGGGGAGTCTCCGCCATTGTTTGTCAGTTTCCGGTGCTGCTAGGTCGCCGGCCCGGCGTCTGTTGCTGCTGTTGCTGCGGTTGCTGTTGCTGTTGCGTCACCGCCGCGGCCGCGCCCGCCGCGCTGAGCGTCGGTAGCGGTGTTTGATGGCAGTGGGCACAGTGCAAACAAACCGTGCAGGCGCCAATCTTCCGGGCCAGCATTATGCGCAGCTTCAAGGCTGGACCGAGCTTCATGCCCATCGTGCCCGTCAGGTGGTTCTCCGAGAGTAACGGCAGCGCGGCACCGTCTATACGATGCTCCCGGAAATTCTGCAAGCAGAAATTGTGATAACGTGTTATTAACAGTATACTTTGAAATATATCAAATGAAATTTCCTTCTCCGATCATATCATTCTAATAGCGCGGGATAGAATTTTGGGTGAGAGACTTTATCTTCTAATACTATATGTATTAATCAGATGTAAATGATAGAAATACCTCAATTGTATGGCAAAAATAAAAAATTGAAAATTAAAAATTAAAACTTTAATTTTTTCCATCAATGACGTACATACTCGTGTCTCCGTCACGGTCATAATGTAGGATTATTATTGGAATTCGCGGCATTTAAATTCCGATTGCGGATCGTTAAGGCTACTATTGTATTCCTCGGTTCATTATATGATTCACCCGATGATTCTCCTAAGTGGTATCATCGCGACCTTCGACTGAGACTAGAATCGCGTCGGGACGAGAAATCGTCCTCTCGCGACAGCTGCGGACAGCGTTGCGCGAAATCCCACAAATTCGTCTCGCGCAAGACGCGATCGGCAGGAAGACGAGCCGTCATCTTTCTGTCGGCATGCAAAAAGTCCAATCGAGATCCGCCGAGAAACGATGAGCGATGAGAATAAGAAGAGGAGGAGGGGAGGGAAAAGAACGCGAAGGGGCAGGCAAAACGGAAGGAGGTGAAGAAAACAAAAGAGAAGGAAGGAAAAGGGAGAGTGGCGTTTCATTCACCACACCGGATCGCCGCGTCTCCCGTAATAGCGGCTGTGCAACGACCGCGGGGTGCAACGCGTGATACGTAAGCGCGATCGCGAGCGTCCCTCGCGCGCTCCGCATGTTCGTGGAATACGGTAATTGCTCCAGCCCGCTTATGAATGAAATATTCAGCGGCGTAATGCGAGTCGCGCACGCAACGGCAGACCGGTCTCCTTCCTCGCCGAAGGTGGGGACCCGGGATCGACGTGGAGGATCGAGGCCGTGCATTCATGCCGCTGGGCATTCAGGTCTCTCTCTCTCTCTCTCTCTCTTTCTCCCTCTTCTCTCGTGAAGATAGCGTTCAATTGCCCGGCTCGCCGAGGGTAAGTGCGAGGGTTATCTGTCATTGAAGGGAACGTTTGTCGATCTCGTACTCGTATCTCTCGTGCTGCACATTCGAGCGCTCCGACGATCGATTCCGATTATATTGAGTGTCTTATAAATGAGAGAAATTTATTTCTTAATTATCTGAAGCATCTGAATGCGCAAGTAATACAAAAATAAATTAATTCGCCATGTACGCAATAATCTTGAGTAAATTAAGTTTATATAACGCGGAGTTTTATATATGTGTAATTACGCTAGCAATAAATAATTCATATCTTTTTCGTGGGTTAATTTATTTTCAATTGGCAATGATACGCGTTATGAACACTTGGAATCTAACGGGTGTATTCTTACTGGCCGTTTCGCCAAGTAGCTCCTATCTACTATTTATCTACGTACGCATCGCGTAAAGAAATACCAAGACAATTTATCGCGCAACAGGAATCTATATTGTTAAGCAAGCCCAAGGATCTCGCGATAACAATGTGACTCGTATAATCGCCGATGCTAAAACGCATAGTCATTGATTATGGTAAATAGGCTCCATACCGTTTCGTATTCTCGATGCGTTCGCGGTTCTAACGGTACGAGTCAGCCACGCGCGAGAATAGCCGTCTCTTCACGGTCACCTCACGTAAAGCTTTAATTAGTTAAGTCGTTCACACAACGCGCAAGAAATCGTTTCCGCCAAACTTTGTACGACTTTATCCAATGCAGAAAAAAATCTCAGATCCTTATAAATAATTATTCGTGAAAAGTAATTCCATATCTTTGTTCTAATCCAATTTTTTAATCTTATAACAATCTTAATCGTAACGTAAATTGCTATAAAATTACCTGGAGTCGCTGTGAATTCCGTTCGTGATCGAGTATTTGCATTAATATAAAGATCTCTAGTGTGTTTTTCTCCTATATTTAACACGCTATTAATTTTATATTTTACTAGAACAACACAGGCGCGCGCTTTTATTTGCGGACATTTTCCAATTTTTTTAACTTTTCTTTCCATAACTTTTATGATTTGACAATCGCAAATAACACGAGTGAAGCAAATCGCAGCGCGCAAACGAGACAGTCAATCAGCATCACGGAAAAAAGGCTTCTACGTTTCGATATATTCGAGTTTGAGGTTTCACGAGGTTTTTTTTTAGAAAGCGATAAGAATTAAACGTACATCAACCGTTTAATAAATAATTAATCATAATCTAAAATATACTTTATACACTTTAATATTCCGCTTATACGTATAATACGATAATACATAAAATATTTCGGCAACGACTTTTCAATAATATGGTATTTGGCTTTGGCAGCGTAAACATTAGCGCGCTATTGTTACGACTTTGTTATTTTATTCATACGGAGACACTTGAATAGAACTGTAGTGGAGCAAGTCACTCCATCAAATTCGTTTCCTAAACGCGATCGCGACAAGTATCAGAAGATAATTTGATAAGATTAATATCTACTTATATATCTTTTATATACATTACCACGATACGAAATAATTATTCCTTCAAAAATAAAATTTGAAATAAAATATATTTTCGACGCTTTATAGTTTGACTTTTAACAGCATCTAAATATGATTCGGATTAAGATCGAGCAACTAAACAATCGATTCGCAAAATCGAGTAATTAACACAAGACTTCGCGATACATCAATCGTTTAATAAATATAATTAATCATAATTCAAAATATATTTTATACACTTTAATATTCCGCGTATATATATAATATAATAGTACATAAAATATTTCGGCAACGACTTTTCGATAACATGGTATTCAGCCTTGGCGGCGTAAACATTGGCGCGCTATTGTTTACGTATCATGATTTTGTTATTACTCATACAGCGACACTTGAATAAGAACTATAGTGGGGTGAGACGCTCCATCAACATCAAATTCCTTTCTTATGTTATCATTCACACGACGACATCCGCGCAGTGAAGTAGCGCGTCGGTGCCGTCATCGTGTCGCGGACGGCTTTCGCGTCTTTCGCGTATTAGTACAGCATTGCCACGAGTCGCACAATGGCTCATATGTGGCACGCGCATTTGTGCGTTGAACGCACATTAGTGCGTCGTCGTTGCCGTCATCGTGCCG